AGTCTTGTCATCTTCAGTGCAGTTGCCTATACTCTCAGACTTGATACTGTCAATCCTATCAGTTTTGAATAAAATCTGTTGATACCAAACAGCAATCAAACAAACCAGGTTTAAATAAGATCAGTCATGATAAAACAGTATAATTCATACAGGGCTCCAGATTAAGGTAATAGGAAATTAAAGATGATTACTGTGCTGTATCCTGATGTTTTTGGGATAGCTGTCTGTGCCCTCAAATCTAATGCAAGTAGACAAACTGGAATAGAATAAAATCTATCAAAAAAAAGAATAAAATCTTTCTAAGCAGAGTGGTGTGAGTAATGTGGGTTTTAAATCCTGATACAGTATTAACAATATCTTCTGCCATCTTTTTTAAGACTCTCCCTCCTCTTTGACTTTCCCAGGGTACACTGTGCATTTTTGGGTCTGACCAAGACCCTTGGTTTTTAAATGGGGGCGGGGGGGCAACCTGCTATTTACCTAAGTGGTTCTGACCCTTCTCTCTCCTGGACTTGATCTCTAATTGTATCCCTTTACCTGTTAGGATTAGGGTTAGAGCCTGTCTTTCCAACCTATCCACCAATATTGGTCTAGTTGCCCCTATTACTCTCTAGTTCTCTGTCACATAGAGCACTGTTTTCTCATATTTGATTTTCAGTCCATGTACTCTTTTTCATGTTAATTATTTCCTATAAATAGCATCTCAGTGGACCCTGCCTCCTGAGCTACTCCACTTGGGGTTCTTTTTTTTGTTTTGTTTTAATTTAGTGTATCAAGGTCATCTATATTAGAGATTATAACCAACCTTCTCTGCCTCATTTGTGTTACGCTCTTTTTTTGCCGTCACTTTTCTGCTTGTCTTCTTCATTCTGTTTTCTGCTCCATTCACTGAGGCTTCTCTGCCTCTTTTCCTGGAATTCTAGTACTTTTCTCTCTCTCTAGAAGCCCTGCAGTATTCTCTGTAGAGTTAGATTTGTGGTTGCGAATTTCCCAAGTTCTTCTTTGTCTTGGAAGCATCTTATTTCTCCATTAATTTCTAGAGACAGTTTATCAGGGTATATCAATCTGGGTTTGAGGTTATTTTCTTTCAGGGGTTGGAATATTTCACTCCAGGCTCTTGACTTGATGGTTCGTGTCGAGAAGTCTCCCATGATTCTGATGGGCCTTCCTTTATAGGTTATCTGTTTGTTATCTCTAACAGCTTTTAATATTCGGTTCTTATGTTAAATTTCTGGGATCTTGATTATAATATGCCTGGGTGTAGCTCTGTTTTGGTTGTAGGTGGCTGGAGTTCTGTATGCTTCATACATCAGAATATCATTTCCTTTTCCTATGTTTGGGAAGTTTTCCCTAATTATTTCTGTGAATAACCTTTGTAGTTCGTTTGTTCCCTGGTTTCTTCATTCACATTCTTTATTCTCAAGTTATAGATCCTTTTGTCATCTTCTAGCCTCTGTATTGTTACTGCTTGTTTCCTTGTTATTTTTAAAAAGTTTTCCCTTTAGTACTCCCACATTGCAAAATTGTCCTCCAGTTTGGATAATCTATCCTTAGTTTCTTTCAAGCTGATTTGCCATCTTTCCATAGAGTTTTTAGTTTCATGGTAATCTCTTTGAATCTGCTTCATGTGTTCTATATTTTTTTATATTCTTCATCAAATGATTCTCTCTTTTGTTTGAGTTCCTCACTTCTTCTGTCTGTGTCTCCTTGAGGGTTGCTTGGCATCACTTTTATTCATTTTCTTATATTTTGTTTTACTTGGCTAAATATTTCACTTTTGAACTCATCTATGAGGTCCAGAAGATATCTCTGTATGTCCACTGATGCTGTGTCTGATATTGCATGTTTGCTGTTCTCATTGTCCTTTGTATTTACCTGTCCTGGGTCAGTGTTCTCAGGGTTGGGACCTGGGGACTTTTTGTTGTTGCTTCCTCTTCCCATCTTTTTTGTTTCTTCCAGGAGGCCCCAGTTTCTTTCTTTGTTAGTTACAATTCTTCTGAAGCATACTGGCTAGGTGACCCTTCCCACTGTAGTGTAATAGTGAATTGCAGACAGAGACAGCATATGCTGGCTCCTCCCCTTTTGATCAGTCAATCTGCTGAGACCTGCACTGTATTACTTTGCGCCGCCTCCCCTCCAGGTCAGTCAAACTTCTGACGCTTCACTGTGTTAGTGTGTTCCGCCACCATAGGAATTTGATTTGGAATAACCTATTTAGGCCTCAGCTTGGTTGCGTGACCCAGGCCTAGCTCACTCTACCAATCCCACTGGGGAAGGGAACAACTGACCGATGTCACTGCTTCCCCTTGTACTTGCCAGTTCTGCCTGGTCCCAGAATGTCGTCCACCGGAGCCGCCCTTTCTGTGGAATGGCTCCACTCCTGTCACTCACCACAGGTCGATGCGGGCTCCCCACCAGCTCAGCTCTCCATTTGGCTGGCTGACCCCCAACCTCAGTGTGACTGTGCCTCCAGTGAGTCAAAGTGGTGGGATCCTAGATGGCTTGGCAAGTCGCCTGCTGCAATGGGAGCACTGAACCTTTAACTGTTCCAATAATAGCACCAGGAGTGTATGTTTGATTAGTTCTTCTCACCTTAGTTTCTTCTTGGGATGAGTGAATTCATCTCCCTCTGTTTGGGGCTCCCCATGCTGTATTATGTTGAATTCTAAGTTGACTATCTCAGGGAGCCTCTGTAGCCAGCTGTTACCTATCTGCCATCTTTGCTCTGCTGATACACATTTTTATAAGTTCACCTTCTGTCATCCAAACTTTCTGACTTTTTTTACTCTAAAAATTTTAGCATTGTGTGGTGGCTCATGCCTGTAATCCCAGTATTCAGAAGGCTGAGGCAGGAGGGTTGTTGCGAGTTGGAGAACAGCCTAGGCTACCAAGTGAGCTCTATGCAGCCTCATCTGCATGGAGAGACCCTTTGATGTCCTTCCATTCCCAGAGCACAGGGAATCCTTTATTATTTTCACCATTCTGAAACTGATGTTTGCAATAGTGGAAGATCAATGAGATTTTAGTGGTTTTTGGAGATTTGAGTCCGTACTCAGCTGGCTCCAAGGCAGGATGGCATGGCTGAGGCAAGTGTTCTTGGTTGCCACAAGCAACAAGAGTGAAGAGGGTAAAGTAAAATAAAATAAAATAAACCAAAAATAAAAATGGGAAAAGCTGGCCTCCTTCCCTTCCTTAAGTTGTGTGCTGGTTCTATTTCCAATCTTTTCAACCAAACTTATGTCATCATTTTAATCACTTTCTGAAGCAATTTCTGAAAGTCCTCTTTTGACAGTGTCTTTATAAGGTGTGGTAAAACACATCATTCATGCTGCTGCTGATTATAAATAAAGACTTGTAAAAATGTAATGGTTTGTCTTCATTCACCTTGTTTGCTGGATCTGGCACTGTGCAACCTCTGCTTGTTCCCCAAAGTCAAATGACCATAAAAGGCAAGTGTTTTAAATCAATTCATGACATTGAGGCAACCATGATATTGTTGTTAAAGATACAAGATAGCCCTTCCATAACTGCTTTGGAAAGCAGCAAGAACAATAGGATAAGTGTGTTTGAAGAGAGGGAAAGTATTCTGTGGGCAGTGGTAATGTCTTTTACTGTAATACATTCATAAAAAATTTCACTATTTTTAATCACACCTCCTGGTACTGTACATTAATTATTTGAGGAGAATAGAGATATGAGGCGTTCTGTACTTAATCACTGTCCAGAAAAAATTAATATGAGCTATATATGAACTTTTATGTCTTTTATATATTTTAAATATATATAAATATATAAATTAATTAAAATATATAAAAGTATAAGTATATTTTATGAAATATATATATATTTTAAGTATATAAATATATTTTATATGAAATATATAAAATAAATATATTTTAAATATATAAAATATATTTATATATTTGAAGTACATATAAAAATTATGTATATATAACATTAAGAAAAAAATTTAGTAAAAGTCATTTTATAATAGCTTAATGAAATATGTTTAAATTATTCTACATAAAAACAGCATAACTAGTAATATGTTATTTTTGAAGTAAAATTTTGAAATTGGTATGTATTTTTCAATTATACCCACCTCAATTCAGAGGGCAAATTTTTACCTGAGGTACATGCTTTATATTTAGATTTGATAAACATTATAGTTCAAAAAGTAGGATCACATTCTTAAGCAGTCCTAGCCATATTTGAACTCTTTTTTCAATAGCTGAGTCATATGCCAGCTGAATCAAAATTTAAATTTGCATTGGTTAAAATTAAGCAACCATCTTTCCAGTGTGTACCAACCAGTCTAGCTAAGGTATTAAAAGCTGCTAAAACTCAGTGAGTCTTTGCGCATGTGGGAGGGAGAAGTGATTAAGAGTGAAAAAGGCATTCACTAAATCAAATACTTTGCAAGACATACTTCTTGTGTCTGCTTGTAGCTGTATCCACACAAGGTAGTCACGTTTTAAAATGATTTTAAATATTGTTTCAAAGTTTTCTTTGAAGCTTCTGTACCTTTTTAGTTTAATGAACTGTGTTTTCTTTTACTTTTATAGATTTTTAAATTTTTCTCCATATTGGATTTTAAGAATTTAAGATGTTTTACAGCATATATTCTTGGTGTGTCATTGTCTTATACTCTCCCATGATTCTTGCATCACTGAAATTTATGTATTGTCCAACTTTAATATAGTTTTTGTTAAATCCTTCTAGATAGGTGCTCCCCTATACCAACTTTTTTGGTTCTTGTTTATATAAGGTACACTTTACCATATACCATATACCTTTCTTATATTTTATGGAAAAGCAAAAATCAATGATGTCTTCTAACTTTCTAAGTATTAGAATAAGTATTAACTATCCTAAAAGCGTGAAATCCACTGAATGCTATTCTTAACCTTCTTTTGAAGTAAAGTTTTTTTAAAATTGTCAAAAGAGCTTAGCCCTTCATGCACAGTTGTTTTTATTCATATATATTTCTTGTGTTTCAGGAGAAAAGCCTTTCAAGTGTGACGAATGTAACTTTGCCTCTACAACCCAGTCTCATTTGACTCGGCATAAGCGTGTACACACTGGAGAGAAGCCCTACAGATGCCCCTGGTGTGACTACAGGTAATGAGCCCAGACAAGCTACCACTAAATAGGAATCCTGTTGAATCTTTTATGAAAGTGTAGTTTTTCTAGTCAATATGGATCAGCATACTTGTATATTTACATATTAGGCTAGAACTTTAGTTTTGTAGGTAATCTTAGTAACTTCTTATAAACAGACCTTTTCAGAGCAATTTTAGATTCACAATTGTGAGGGTAGTATAGAGATTTTTTAGATCCCTTTTCCTAAACATGTTCATTTCCTTCATTATCAATATATCCCACTTGAATGGTTCATTTATTACAACCAATGAACCAATATTGATATAGCATTACTATCCAAAGTTCATAGTTAACCCGTAGGGTTCACTCTAGGTGTTATGGATTTGTTGGAACAAGTTTCTAATGACATGTATCTACTAAGATAGTATCAGATAACATTGTAGTAAATGTTCATAACATAAGTCTTCCCCAGTTTTAGCATCCTAACACTACTGCGCCTAAATGTTTAGTAAACTTTTTTATCATTCAACATAAAAAACTATTGTAGTATTCAACACATCTCAGGAATGTGAACAAAGTTAAGTGGTCATTGAGATAATGAAGATGATGTAAAATATGTTTCCTGCCTTCAAGGACATTAAAGTATAGTAATTGACTAAAGTAGTTTCACAAATAATTATAATACAGATTTGAATGGGTGAATCAAAAGACCAAAGGAGAACATTCGAGAAAGAATATGATGAGTTTCTCATAAGGGAAAGGGCATCTCAGCTATAGGGTAAAAAGTGGTAAAGTTTCAAGGACACTGTATTCTGAGATGGGGAGATGGCACGTAATGCAGAATTTCAGTGCTGAAATCATCATGAAAATCATAGATGTTCAGTTCCCTCACTGAGGTTTGACCTCACTGAGATTGTAGACATACTCAGCCTTAGTGGAAGCAGCAAAGCTTTCATATAGACAGGGATGATGAGCTAGAATCAGTCTATGTTCAATCATCTGGCCTAACCATACGGTAAAATTTGTGCAGAAAGTCATTGTGGAAGGTAAGGTGGAAAATGGAATTTGGCATCCAGGTCTACCTTATGCCCCTGCACCTGAAAGCAAACTTGGGCCCCACTTTGTAGTCTGAGACATTATAGATTTTATGGTGACATCTGTCCTATGGAACCTGACTCCAAGAGGGAAAGCCTACTGTATATTGAGCAGAAGACCTCCATTGTTGCTGCCACCTGCAATGATATGGCAACATTCAGAGTGAGGTTTTAAATTCACTCCCATTTACAGTGAATATTAGAGCATGCACAATAAATACAAAATCCTCTTTAAAAAGTAGAGTTTTCTATTCCTCTGGATGTAGCCTGGGCATTCAGCAAATATATTGCCATAATTTCTATTATCAGCCACATTATTGCATTAAGCTTTATGTGAAAGGTCAAATAGTACAGAGATATTACAGATATATTTCATTCATTAATTATTTATTCTTTCAACATTTTATGAGTTCTATCTTTGTGTTACATGAAACTGCCAGTTTTTGGGAAAATGGTGATCCAATTAGAGGTGCTAAGGTGCTGCTAGTAGAAATTCTAAGATGCTTAAGTTTGAATTCTTTAAAACTAAACTTTGTTGAAAACTTTTTCTTTATTACAGAGATGATATTGTAGTTTCCCTATAAAACACAGAAAAGCAATTTAAAATTTCCTTTAATTATCATCCATAATTACTAGGATTATATGCTTTTCATCTGTACTTCATACATAAAGTTTTTGTTGTTGCCTGGGGTCTAGTTTTTGGTTTCTCTCAGTAAAACTTTATTTCTCATATTTAACACATTGTCACTTTTTCTAATCAGGACAGTCTCCTGTAGAACTATGATTTTCAATCTTACATTTTTCAGTGACAGAGTTATTGTTTTAAAGAACATTATATAGAAAACTCCATATTTATAAAATAGATAAAAAATTATATAACAGATATGAGTAGGTTTCATAATTAAAACCATGGTAGATGTCATAATAATAGCTTATTATTATATTAGCAACATAATAAAGCTTTAAACAAGCAGAAATGTTTAAAATGACAAGTTTTTGGTGACAGTTGCTCCTGAATTTGTCTCAGTATCCAGTTTCTGTCTTCTTTATAGGCTAAAGACACAGCCTGTGGGAGTGGTTAAGAGTATAAACGATGTGAATGATCTAGGCTTAGCACTCACTGTTTGACCTCAGTCAAAGTCCTTAACCTCTTGGGCAAGTATGTCTTCATTTATAAAATGTGGCTTATTAGCAGACTAGCCTTGTGGGATACTAGTACAAATCACATCGGATACACATTGGTGTTATCTAGCCAGGATTTGGCATGTGAAGTTTGTGATAAACGGTGGCACTTGTTTTCACTGTCCTTTCGATGTCTATGAGTTTTGCTTTGCCTTTTAGTTACAGGTACTGTTCAATAGATTACTATAGGGTTTCATGTCCTGTTGTAATGTAAACATTACTTTTAATTAAATTATTGCTGAAAATCTACTCTTAAGTTGTTGAAAAACTTTACCCTTTCAAGCTGCCTACTTTGAAACTTAATCTTCTCTAATATAATTGTAGTACCTGTATACCTCCATGTTACACTAATTCACAATAATCATTGTATCAGACTATTAGACATACCATTTTTGGGTATTTACTTTCAAAATGCTTCTATTTAAATACGTATATATGTCCATAATTTTTAAAGAATAAATCTGTAGGTTCATCTTTTGATAGTACTACTACAAAAGTTAGCTTTGGTACAAATACCAAATATTCTTGGTATTTGTATTCAGAAACATATTTCCTTGGTTTGAAAGAACATTGTGTTTTTTTCTAAGATTGAGTTTGTAGTTCTGATCCCCTAAAATATCTCTCCTAAAATACTGTGTAGTAGTACTTTTTTAAAAAAAATTTATTTAAAAAATGATTAGGGCTGGAGATTTAGCTCAGTGGCATAAGTACCTGCGTTGTAAGCAGGCGGTTGTGAGTCCAATCCCTGGTACTGATAAAAAGTTAAAAAAAAAAAGATTTAAAGAATGATTAAACAAAACAGAAAAAAGGTAGAAATAATACACACTTTCAAAGAAAAAATAAACAGTAAGAAATCACTAGTTGATGATTACATATTGTCCTCTTACAAATAGTTGTTCAAGTTACAAAAGTGAAGCGTACAAGGTGGACATTCAAACAGTGAGACTGCAAACAGTTCTGTTCAACTATCCAACAAAAACTTAGTAATGTGGTTACCAATCCTATACATTTAAACATACATGCAATTATTCATACCTTCATATATGTTAAGATTAAACAAACCAAAGCAGGCTAAAGTCACCTCTAAACAAAGAATAATAAATAGTATTGCTGGATTTCACATTGTAGTCCTACTTTTGAGCCAGCCAGATACCGTCCATATGGTACCTCTGTCAGGCATTGTGTTAAAACAGAGATGGTATTGTCTACATTTGGTCACTGTCTTGTGACTTAATACTTAGAACACTAAAATCCAGTGGTAGCCACCAACTTTTCTCCTTTTGAATTGCTTCATGTCTTTTATAAAAGACTCATTTCTGTCTTTATATAAAGCTTTTAATTAAATTATTGCTGGAAGTTTAGTTTGAACTGTATCTATTTATCCAAACATTTTATGCAGTTAGGCATGCTTCTACCATTACACAAAAGAAAAGTTAACCTTAAAGAACTTTAACATATAAAAATTTTTCTAGTGCAATGGGCTAGGAATGAGATATATAAATTAGAAAAGATGATATTATTTTCTTGTTGTTGAGAAAAAGATTTTAAAATGGGCATGTAGTAAGTTAAAGGAAGATGTAGCTATATTTACTGATACCTTTTCGTATTATTATTCAATATTGTTAATGTTTTTCCATGTTGATTTTTATTTACTCAATATAGCTAAAAACTATTCTTGTAGACTATTTCTGTCTATATCACTATGAACATTTATTTGTAGGTAAGTTATCAGAAACTGAAGAATTATTTAAATTTTATTTGAAAATGTTTCGCACTTTATAAATTGAAATTAGTAAAGAAGTACTAGTAATTATAATTATCCATGAAAAATGTGAATATAGATTTGTTTACAAAAGCATCTTATAATTGGTTTTTTTGAACCTGGGGCTATTTTTCAAGTTTCCATTATTAATTTAGGCAGTGACATCTCATTCTATTTAGATATAAACATATACTTCTTTCCTTAGTTTTTACTGTCTGAAACATCTGAAAGTATAATCCATTACAAGTCAGTGTTGTGTTCTGTCATCACTCTGTAACTGTTGCATCATTAATTATTATGCTTTATAATTTCAAGGCATAACTTTAGATTCATAGTATACTGCCTTATCATATAACTTACATAGCAGATGCTTTAAATTTCTTTCTTTTAAAATGAAAACTCTCTAAACTTTTGATATTTTATTTCCTTGTTAAGAGAATAAAATAGAGCAGCCTTTCTTATATTTTAGTCAGTGTTGTTTCTCTTTGTAAAATCCTTACTTCCCCATAGAATTTGCTAATATCAAACTGCTTTCCATTTCATTCAGCCCATTAGTTTATATATCATAGTAAATGAGTTCCCCCAACATGGCCATTGTTGAGCTTTTTAAATGTGAAACTTCTCATTGAATTTTTTTTTCTTTTAGCATTTATGAGAGAATTATAATGAGTATATATTAATAAAAACTACTAAAAGAAACTGAGAAGTAACATATTGCTTGTGTTATTCAGAGTATTAAGGACAATCCTATAAATTACTTTAAATGTCATTAAATTATAGAAAATTGAATTTCCAAGCCCTGCAACTTTCATCTATCTTTATTGTGTCCATATTATTGAACTTGAGATAGCCTTAGAGTTTCTTAAGACTAGATTTCCTCAAATTTGTAATTGTCCCAGTAATTCTAACTTTAGATAAAGTTTGGTTTGTAAAATACTTTTAATTTCATTGTTTTTCTTTTATGTACTGCTTAAGTCATA